CTGGATGGCACCATTCAAAAACATAAAGACAAGATTCAGGATATAAAATAGATAATAAGCTCAGTTGAGAGCACGCTGTTTCAAGTGCCTCTGGGCCATGTGGGTGGACATAACGAGGAGAACCTTGAGCTAGACAAGTTTAATGGGGTCTCATCTTTATAGAGACTGTTGAAGCCACCAAAGTGTGCTTGAGATTAAATGGGTCAAATTAAAATAATTTGAGGCTATCATATCATACATAAACATACTAAAGATCGTTTCTACCCTCAGAGCACATTTGTGTATGTTTAAGTTCTCAATAAATATAAAATAAATTGATTGACAAGTTAGATTCTTTATATGAAGCTACTACCTATGTCTGCTAATAGGATCATTTGTTAGTGGCTAACATTTAAAAAAAATTATCATTCTGATGCTGCTCTGATGACAGGGTAACACAGAGCCCTATGCAAATGCTTTAGTCAGTCTGTACAGTACATCCTTTTACCAAGATAATATTGGTTATCCCTGAAAAATATAAACAGATGGCAATCTTTTCCTTCAAAGACTTTATAAGGAAGATGTAAAAACATGACTTGAAAAATCACCATTTCCATAACTCAGCTGGCCATACATTAGAAACAAATACATATGACAAAAAGCACCCAAAGAAAAAGCGTAAGTTTTGTTTAAAGAGTAAAAATCTAGAGGAATGAATGAGAGAAGTGTTCTGGAGAAGGCAAGTTTTAACCAGGCTTAGAAAGTTATGGTTTCTGACACATAGAATAATGATCAAAGGCAAAAACTTATTTTAGGAACCAAAACTTATTTTATGAGTAATAGAAAAATAACTAGTGTGAGGAGTTTGTACATAACTGGAGGGTTGGGGAAATCCAGGTGAAGGAAGATTCTTGGAAAATGGGCTGAAGAGTTTCTCCTATTATGACAGGGCATCACCAGAAACTCTCGAAAAGGAAAATGATGAGATGCTTTAATTATAAATTCAAGATTCTAATTTTTTTGTACCATAACATCAGACAACAAATGAAACTAGTATGTTTCAGTATAAGTACAAACTTAAACAACACTGGTGTTTAAAGAGTTTTTGATTTAGTTATTCTTGGCACGGTTATATAGGGCATCTCAAAACCTAAATTCTGGTAACGTCAATATGCCCATCATTCAGAATCTGTCAAACTGGAAAGCAACACCCTCTTCCCTAAAAGAAGCATCTGCTTATCCTTATGTTCCTTCAAGTCTGTGTCAGGAAAAGCAAGCATAGTTTTATGTATACAACTCTGAGCTGCTTAATGTTAAGCTATGGAGTACTGCCAATAAATATTATGTCAAAATTGCTCATGGACAGTTAAATTTAAGATCTTTTAGGCTTTAGAAAACCAAAATCAGCTTTATCAATCTATAAACTCTATTGATAATCTTTGGGCCTGAATGTCCAAAGCCAAATGAGACTTCCACACAGATGTCAAAAACAACGTGCCCACTCACATCCTTTCTTTAACAAGCAGCTCTCCTTGACTTCCTTAATGCTGCGAACACTGCGGAGAACCACGTATGGAAACTTACTACCTTAGCAATTATAACATGTGAGTACCAATTTGGCTCTTCGTGAATTTTTGTTCAACCCTGAACAAGACAAATAATTCCTGAGCCTTTGGTTCATTTTGGTTTCTTCTATAAAAGTAGAAAATTATGCCCTGGCCGGTGTGGCTCCGTTGGTTGGGCACTGTCCTGTGCATGGAAGGGCTGCTGGTGCGATTACCGGTCAGGGCACACGCTCAGGCTGCGGCCTGAATCCCCAGTCGGGGGCGCGCAAGCTGGAGGCAGCCAATCGACACTTCTCTCTTCCTCTCCCTTCCTTTCTCTCTAAAAATCAATAATAAAAAAATGTATTTTTGTATATGTGACAGCATGAATGAACCTTGAGAATATTATGCTAAGTGAAATGTCAGTCAGAGAAAGTTAAGTACCACATGATTTCACTCATATACGTGGGATATAGAACTGGTGGACACAGACAGCAGTGAGGTGGTGACCAGAAGGAAGGGGGTGGGAAGGGGGTGGGGGGTAGAGGGAGCCTAATATATGGTTGCGGAAGAGCATCTGACTTCGGGTGGTGGACATGCAGTGCAATATACAGATATTGTATCATAGATGTATACTTAAAATCTATATGATTCTATTAACCAATATCACCCCAATAAATTTATCAAAAATTTTTTAAAAAGTAGAGAGTTAAAGTAAGATGATCGTTAAGATAGTTTTAGCAATAAAATTCCATGATTCGTCCCTAGCCTTTTATCCCAATATCACTGTAGTCTGACCATTTTTCCTATATCAAAATATTTTATACACATTTTTATTTTCTATTTCCATTATCATCACATGACTGCAGATCTTTATAAACCAATTCCGTATCTTTCTTCCAGGCACTCCACACCCTGATTTATAGTATGTACACCACACATCTTATGTTCTTTTTCCTCCTCCACTCTTTTCTGAACCTTGACTGCAGACTTAAATTAGGCACGCTGTTCCTTCCATGATCCGTTATTCTCAGCTGTGAGCGATAGCTCTCATCTGCTTTTGTTTTCCTGTGCACTCTCAAGTCCTCTTATTCCCTTCATTTTGTGATTCACATTACAATGGGATATATGCTTGGATATATGTGTGTGTATATATAATTGTATAAATAAATTATATATTGTTATATCATATGTTTTTATGCTTTAGATCTTTTTTTTTTTTTACTTTTTAAATACAAACCCTGTTTTATAGATCGATGTTGCTTTAACTACATCTTTACATGTAAACACATTTTTAAATGATACAATTACCGCAGGTTACAATTAGTGCATTATGCTTATTTATTTCCTTGGCTGCCTAGGCTGCCTCCAATTCCCTTCTTCTACAAATAGTCTCATTCCACAGAAATAATCAATCACTAATTTGAAGTTAGGGGACATCATTTCTGGAAATGTTTTTATTTTATTCTTTATAATACATATGCAATATACAGACATTTTATTCTTTTACTCTATAAGTTGATATATATATATCTAAATATGTATAGGATATATGTGTGTGTATATATATTTATATATATACATATATATATATCCATAATCAACACACACTATTATTGAAAACATTTAAAATGTATATAGCCCAGCCAGTGGGGCTCAGTGGGCTGAGTCCGTCCCACGGGCTGAGGGGTTCTGGTCTGATTTCTGGCCAGGGCACATGCCCTGCTGAGAGCTCAATCCTCAGTGGGGGGCATGCAGGAGGCAGCCCATCGGTGTTTCTCTCTCACGTGGATGTTTCCATCTCCCTCTCTCTAAAAAATCAATAAATACATATTTAAAAAAAATAAAATGTATATAACTTGCGTCATTCTTTAAGCTCCTTTTGCACTTGTTATTACATTCCACATTCTATTTTTGACACTGATAACTGGGTGTGAGGAAGTGTCACATTACTTCAACACGCAGTTTCCTGACTGCTATGACTCTGCCCAATGTTCTAAGAAACTGTGGTCTATGTTAAATCAATCCTTGGAAAATTGTTAAGAATTGTTTTACCACCCAGAATGAGTTCAATGTTTTTAAATTATTTGTAAAGATATGAAAAGAAAGTAGATTCTGAACTATGCTTGTTAAAACCACAATGACCTCTGCAGTGGGTTGAATAGTGTCCCCCCCCCCAAAAAAAAAATTCAGGTCCACATGAAACTTCATTTGGAAACAGGGACTTTGCAGAAGTAATTAAGGTAAGGATCTTAAGATTAATCATTCCAGATTAGGGTAGGCTCTAAATCCTCAAACTTGTGTGCTTATAAAACAGCAGAGGGCACAAAGAGAGAGACAGAGAACAAGGCCATGTGAAGACGAAGGTAGGAAGAGATAAGAGTTATGCTGCCAGAAGCCAAGAAATACGTGAGGCTACAGCAGCTGAAGGAGCAGGGACAGATTCTCCCCCAGAGCCCAGCAGGAATGCGGCCCCACTAACGCCTTGATTTCAAACTCCTCGCCTCCAGAATGATGAGGAAAACATTTCTGTTGTTTTAAGCCATCAGTTATCATGTTATGGCAGGTGAGAAACGAATACAACCTCTATGTTGTCTGTTTCAATGGTCGATTCTCAGAAGTCCCCCTGCTAATCTGTCACTGACTGCACTTGACCCAGCAACCGCTCCTCCTCCTCGATCTCCTTCCTTCACCCGACTTCCAGGCCGCCACACTTCCTGGTCTTTTCCTCTCACTGGTCTCTTCTCAGCCTCTCTGGCTGATTTTCTCCTCTTCACCCTTACTTCTCTGAGCTCAGTTGTAGGCTCTTATCTCTTTTCTATATGCACTACAATTTAAAGATATTTGTAAATGATTGCAGCATGGAACAAAACCTAGGATTACATGTCTTAATCTTAAGTATCACGAGTGAGAAAGAGGAATAAAAAGTGACCTTTTTTTTTTTTTGGTCATCTGGAGTTTTTCCTGTGAAGTCTATTAATGCAATGATTATTAAACCACTGGACCACAATATATAGGCACAGCATTAAATTGCTGATTAAAAACCCTTTATTGACTGCTTTCTGTTCCTCTTCCCTGTCTCATTCTCCACTTCCCTAATGGTGTTCCCTGGTATTATATCTAAATAAACTACATGCTCAGAACCTTTTGCTTGGGGTCTGCTTAAGGGGAGATCCAAAGGAAGATACATGTAAAAAGATTTTATCTAAGGAAATTGATTTTCTTCCATGAGCACTGGTTTTACTATCATGAAACATCCCTTCTTTATATATATATATGTAATATATAATATAGTTGCCTCCTGACTAATCGTTTTGATTTTAGTCTCTTGCCATCCCAACAGAATATACATACAGATAGCTATTGACAGAAAGTTAAAAGGGAGGGGGGAAAACCCATGGGAAAAATTATGGCATCATCAGTTCCTCTGAGGAAAAACAATTAATATTAAAATAACAAATTTCATTAAAAATATACCTAAGTTGTTTTCGCAGTCGCTCAATTTCCACGTTTTGTTCAGTTAACGTTTTCAGAAAGTGTTGGTTAGCCTGCCACAAGAAAAAAATAAAAACATTCAGTATCCGAACATCTACGACGACTTTGCAGATAAACCACAGGGCACGCAGTAGGAAACTAAGATGCAGTAATGAGCACAGTTAGGTGCTCGAGGGCAGAACAGAGCCCTGGCCCGTGTCCTCCCTTCTGCGTCCCTCCAGTGCCTGCATCCGCACGCCTGTGCCTGCCGCTGGCTCTCTGGCCCCGAGCCTCCCTGAGCCTCCCTGCGCCCCTCACTGTGCAGAAGCCTGCAGGTGTGCGGACTCCACTGCTCTGGGACGGGGACGGGGACGAACCGGGACCTGGTGTGCACTACCCCAAGCTCTTGCACCCCACGGTGGGATAACCGCGCCTGCGTCTGCACTGGCTTCCACAGTTCATTAGTGGGATGAAGTTTCAGTTACCCACAGAGTTAATTGGCTTGACTGTCAGAAACCCTTCACGGCTGCCTCTTCCCTCCCCGTCTCACTCCCCCACTCCCCCAAAGGCGCTCCTTGGCGTTCTCTCCTGAATACACCACGTGCTCTGAAACCCTTTCCCAGGGGTCTGCTCAGGGAGGGAGACTACCGTAAAATAGGAAGCAGTTCTCCAGGTGTGGAAAAAATCTCCCAAGGGAACTGACTTTCTTCTGTAAGTGTTGCTTTTACCACGACGGTACAAATTCCTTACCCTTCTCTATATGCCTTCTATGCAAATCATGTAGATGACAGTGCAGTTCTGACTTCAGTCTCTCCCATCCCAACAGGATCACACAGACCTCTCTCCGACAGATGTCCCGGAAGCAATTTTCATTGTGCTTCCCTTGTGCTCTACCCAACTCCACCGACTTGCTATTTCTACCACACGGCCGCCTTCCCTCTGCCTGGGCGTCCTCATTCCGCCAGCATTCACCCTCCACACCCTCTGTCACCCACTCACGCTACAGCGGAATGAACTGTTTCCCTTTTGCATTCGGATAAAACTTGATTTGTACTATGATAAAGCACATTGCGTTGTATTTAAATACTATATTTAAAGTTTATGTATTTCTGGCTACAGTTTGAGCCTTTTTTTTTTGAGGACCAGCTTCTTCCGAACTTTTAGTGTTTGGCATATGATTCAGCACATTCTAAGTACTTGTCCCTTTGGGGAAGAAATGAATGTCTTTCTGAGACAGGAACAGAGCCTCTGGACTGCACCTTTATGTTGGGAAGTAGCTACTGCGAACCAGAATTTAGTGTTCAATTCACAGGCCACAATTTAAGAACCAACTATCACATGCAGAAAAAGAACAACAGAATAATAAGTAGGCAAATTATACCACATTAAATTAAAAACAAAAACAACAGAACCTCGGTATAACAATGGGAATGAATCAGGAGACATGATTATATGCGATAACTAAAGGCTGACTTGAAGAAGTGAGCTTTCTATGTTACTCCAAAAGATAAAACCATGTATCAGTGGGAGAAATCTGATGAGAGATTTTTTAGCTTTTCAATAATCAGAGTTGAAAGGAAAAGGCTATTAGGGGAAGTATAATATCTCTTACAGGGGATATTCAAAACAGAGGCTAAATTATCATTTAACTGAAAAGTATTTAACAGAAGGATGTCTATTTCATTTGGGGAAGTAGATGACCTTTAATATAATTCATATTCTCCTGTGAAGCTATTTTGACTTCACCCCGCACTGATCCACATCTCTGAATTCCTCTATAATATCTGTCTTGCACCATTAATGTTTTTTATTACATATACTGTCTTGGCACTAGCATAAATAACGCTTGTGTTTTTTTTTTACTATTTGGGAGCACCTTAAAGATAAATGATGTAGAATAATTAGAAATATATATAGGATCGTGAACTTTACAAAGCTAGGTTGGTAACTAATGCACTTAACTTGGTAGCAATCCTAGCAGGAGCTCAACAACCGCATCTGAGCGTGGCCTGGTTCTGTGTTTGTGACCAGACACACGTGGGAGACGCACAGGACGTGGAGATTCACACAGATCCAAGGAAGCCTCCCTTTCAGTCACCCTCTACTCAGCACTGTGCTCACTGACCGTCTCAGTCTTTCCTGTTTCACCAAGTAGACGGGGCTCTGTGGATAGATGCACTTTCACTCGCAAACTAGGAAGTCTGTAACAGTGCAAGGAACTTAGTATCTAATTAACAAATCTCTTTGAGTAAATTTATAGAGATGAGCAAATCTCAAAAAGAATATGATTTCAGTAAAGAGAATTTGTAGGACATATGAACTCTCATTATATCTATAGTTATAATAAATAAATAAATGTACTTTTATGTACCATTCAGGTCCTGGGCATTTTACCTTCCGTATCTTACTAATGTGCACTGGTCACAAAAGCTATTTTATTTACTTTGTTTATACTCATCAATTTATTGTACATCTATAGAAACCTATTCATTTAATGAATTTATTCATGTAATCAAAAACTTTTAAATAGAAACTGCTTAATTTGTAAAGGACACTGTTCTACAAATTTATTTTGACCAAAGCTTGTCCTGGGCCTATGCTCTGAATGCGCTTTGAGAAGTACAAGGTCATTACAATCACCGAGTTACTACCTCCCTTCACACTCAGCAGTCTTGTTTGATACTTCGGATATACATTAAGAAAAACCCTTACACTTTAAAAATTTCTTTTAACTATTTTCCTTATTTTAACCACAGCATAGTTTCCTGTTAGTGGTTTATTTGCTCTTTATAACAAAACTCTTTTGTCCATCTTGTTACTCCTTTATCACTTGTATCCACAGTTTAATTTTGGCCTGAAACTATAAACTCTGTGCTTTAGAAATTTTTTTATGTATTTCCTGTGATTTCTCAAATATTCTTTTCTCACAACTTTCATTTCATCACAATGCTTTTGGGTTGTTTATAACAAATCGGGCTTTGTTGCATAACATACCAAAGAATTATATAATCCCCACAATTCTAGGGGATATACTGAAAGAAAGAAGGAATAATTATGATGTTAAACTATTAATTTCATGTAGAAATAGGATTTAATTATGAAAATCAGCCATTTTGTTCTGGATTTTAACACCATTTTTAAACCCTAAGACATATATAAAATATTATAAGTGACTGGAAATTCTAAATGTTAACATAAGAAAAATAGGAAGAAACTGATTTAACATTTTTATATAGTTAAAGAATAAAATTGGATAACTTACTTTTGATGGCATAACTCCACAATTAAACAGACATTTCTATTAGATACTAACAAGGATTAGCAGAGTAACTAAGTAAAGCAAAGACAGGAAAGAGAGTAATTACTTGGGATGTCACAATCCTATTACTCAACAATGAGGTAAAAGAAAATTCCAAGAAGGAAAAGAAAAGGGAAGGAAAAAGGGAAAGAAAAAAATCTGAAAGAAAAGTGAGAGGAAGAAACAGACAAGAGCACAATTGAGAGGGCTAATTATATTTGTTTAGGAAAAAAAATCATAGGGAAATGTAGATGTTCCAGTTAGTATGGTGGCTGGTTAACTAACAAATGCTTCTCAGTTTCCTGCTAGTTTTAAGAACTGAGGCTACCCACTGATTTAACAGTTCTCCTCCTATGACATACCCAGCAAGGCATGAGTCCCTTTCCTGAAGAGGTCACAGGCTAGAGAACTCTCAGGAGACCCTACCAAGAACCCTGTGAGTATCTGCAAATGAAAATATATTCAGATAGAGGTTAGCTTTACATCTTCAGAAGGTACTATGAACTCTGTCATGTTACTAAATGTGAAAGAAAAAGTCAAAGAGAAAAGAGTACTGCTTATCTATTTTAATTTCATACAAGTTTTTTGTTGTTGATTTACATTAGCAAAAATAAATATTTATAGTGACAATTTCCAATTTATATAAATAATTACACTGAATGGATATTTTCACTTACCATTTCTGTGTTTTCATTAGTAACATGAAGTTGCTTGGTCAGTTGTTGAAAACCGATCAGCTGATCCTACAGTAAAAAAGGTAGGCGGGTACATAAATAGCATTTGATTTGCAACGTTTATTTAAAATTAAACTAAAATCAAGTTTTAAATGATCATGTTTAAGTCCAGATGAAATCAATGGTATTTCTTCTATCATTGTGTATCAATGAATAGCTGATAATACATTTTTAAATAAATGATTACAAAATTAAATAAGGTGGCAATATGAAAAGTAATGTAGCTATTTCTGTTTTCTGTGAAACCATAATCTAGAAATCAATTCATTAGTAGTCAGACATGCTAGAGAAGTCTTGTCCAATATTGGAAAAGCACACTAAAACCTATTCAAACCTACAACGCTAACCATGACACAGGAGTTAGGGTCCCACTCGCCACTCTCTCAAATTCTCACAGCTTGATTATCTGTTATGCTCCTATTAAACATTACATATGCTTGTGACAAGCAGTTGGGAGGAGCTCTTAATATGCCAGATGACAGAATAGATTGATAGATAACTGGGGAAATAAGAACTAAGCATTATTTGTGAAGTTTTGTAAAAAAAAAAAAAAAAAAAAGATTACTGCAAAGTTACAGGGCAAACAATCTTGCTCAGTGACAAACAAACTAAAAACCCTAATGGCTTAGTTGACTGACTAATCAAAGAAAAACCTTTAAGAACTTGCTTATATGATAAATGGTTTCTAGATCTCAGAGGTAAAAGTTTTATGGGTCAGACCACATAGGTTATTTTCAAACCAGGGCATATAGAGAAAAGCTACTTAGTAAACTACAAAGCATCATGTCAGTATTGTTATGACCAGTTTAGGTAGAAATTCTCAATTACCAACAGCTGCCTTCTCAAATACTACAGAAAGCCATGAGAGTTGGAGTTACTCCCAGTTTTCAATGTACCTAGCAGAAAAAGAACAAAAGCATAAAGGAGGCAGATTTTCCAGTGGAATGGATGGCCCTGTGAGACAGTGAGTTCTTGTGAACAGAAGTATAAAGGGAAAGCTAGTAGTCCACTTTGGAAGAATATAAAATGATTCTTGCTTTGGACAGAAATAAGTCTTTATTTAAGCAACCATTAAGATACCTTCCTACCATAAACTTCTATTCTGATTAATTTATGTTAGACCAACCAACCTGACATCTATTTTAGTAAAAGGTCACATTTAAACTTGTCAATTTTCATTTTGCATAGTGTCATCATTAATGTTGAGCAGGTGCCTTCATTGGTTACGATCCAAACAGTTTTTGTCTCTTTTTTTTTATAGTTTATTTATTTTTAGAGGGAGAGGAAGGGAAAAGGAGAGAGAAAAGAACATCTATGTGAGCAACAAACATCAACTGGCCGCCTCCTGCACGCCCCCTGCTGGGGATACAGCCCACAACCCGGGCAAGTGCCCTGACCAGGAATCAAACCAACAACTTCTTGTTGCAAAGGACGACACCTAACCGAGTCATACCAGCCAGGGTTTTTTCGTCTCTCTTTAAAAAAAATCAATTTTTCATCATTGTTGAAAGTATTACAGATATCCTTACTTTTTTTCTCCCATTGACCCCCTTCATCCCGCTTCCCCACCCTCCTCAGGCCTTCAAGACACTATTTGCCTGTGTCCATGGGTTATGCATATATGCACATTAGCTCTTTGGTTACTCTCTTCCCACCAGCCCCATTCCCTCTGAGAGTCATCGGTCTGTTCCATGCTTCCATATCACTGGCTCTATTTTGTTCGTCAGTTTATTTTGTTCATTAGGCTCTCCTTCCCTTCTCTGTTGCTCTGGATTAGGGATCCCTGCATTAGGCTGAGACCCCATGTTTCTAGGGTGTGGGGGCTCTGCAGCGCCACTTCCCCTCTGGCTTCCCAGCCTCGCAGGTGTGCACCTTGGCTCACCCTCTCTTCATTCCCCAACTACAACACTTTGTATCAGCTACACCTCAGCTGGTTTTTCTTAAGCCAGGTAGGAAGCAATCAGGAACGTAAAAGCTTCAGAGGTCCATTAACATAATCTAATAGATGCTTCTTTAACACTAAATATGACTTTCACTGCTAATCACACTATAAAATCCAAGGTACAGTAGGAACTTCTTTAACTATCTGTTTTAAAAGATTTCTAGCCATCAAAGATCTACTTATTGTTAACAGAAATGACACACTAGAAACTTAGGCATTCCTCTCCAAAACTGAGTTTCTCCAGAATGTGATTTCTTATTGACATACAAGAAAACCGTGATAACCTGGCCGATTTGGCTCAGTGGTTAGAGCGTTGGCCTGAGGTCCAGAGAGACCCGAGTTCGGTTCCCGCTAAGGACACATACCTTGGGTGCAGTTTGTTCCTGGCCCTGGTTGTGTCATGTGGGTGGCAGCCACTCAATGTGTCCCTTTCACGTCGATGTTTCTCTCTCTCTCTCTTCCCTCCCTCCCTCCCCCCCCCTCTCCTCCCCCCCCCTCTTCCTCCCTCTCTATCTGAACAAAAACAAAAAAAAATGGAAAAATATCCTGGGGTGAGGATAAAAAAAAAGAAAACCACGATAGCCAATTTTACCTTTTGTTTTTGACTTTCAGCTACATGAATGTGGGCCTCAGTCATATGCTCCTGGTAGAGTTTCTGCACTCTGTCCAACTCCTGGGAAACAGTGTGCCAGAGTTCCAGAACCTGATTTTTTTCCTATGAAACAAAAATATTTGAGAACTCACTAATTATTAGCAGGCTACTACATAGTACAACTTAATCATATTCTTTTACAGAATGAATTCTTCTATACCAAATCACAAAGTTAAAATAGAACATGGACAACAGTGTGGTGATTATGGAGGGGAGTGGGTGGTGGTGGAAGTGGGTATAGGGGGATAAATGGTGATGGAAAAAAAATAGAACTTGTGTAAAGATGGAATCATTGTACTATTTTTGATATATGAAGTTGTATATATGAAGTTGTAATTAATAATTGAGAGAATAAAACTAAAAGTGAAAATTTCTTTCTTTGAAATTTTCTATTTAGATTTCATAGTAAAATTAAAACCCTTAAATCAGAGATATGGATAAAATTACTCTCCTGGTTCTTCAGTAAGTGTAAGCCTTAGAAATTACTGACAAAGAAAATTGGCACTGGGAAAGTACAATATTTTTTTTGTGACTGTAAAAGTAATAAATGTTTATTGTAGAAAATTAGAAAGATACAGAAAAATGGAGAAGAAAATAAGAATTGCCTATAATTATACCAACTGACAGTAAATAATGCTAACATCTGGGTATATGGGAAAAAAAGACTTCAAGGATAACTATAAAATCAAAATTACAGTCAGCCCTGGTTTATCGCGGCTAATCAGTTCCAGACTCTACCGTCGTAAATGAATTTCCGCGAAGTAGGGTTCTTTCTTTATACAGTGGTCCCTCGCCACTCCGCGCTTCGACTTCCGCGCTTTCACTCTAGCGTGGTTTTTTCAAATACTGTACTCTACTCTACTCTACCCTACCCTAGTCTACTCTACCCTAGTCTACTCTACTCTACTCTACCCTAGTCTACTCTACCCTAGTCTACTCTACTCTACCCTAGTCTACTCTACCCTACCCTAGTCTACTCTACCCTACCCTAGTCTACTCTACCCTAGTCTACTCTACTCTACCCTAGTCTACTCTACCCTAGTCTACTCTACTCTACCCTAGTCTACTCTACCCTAGTCTACTCTACTCTACCCTAGTCTACCTTACCCTAGTCTACTCTACCCTAGTCTACTCTACTCTACCCTACTCTACTCTACTCTACCCTAGTCTACTCTACTCTACTCTACTCGAAAAAACCGCGCTAGAGTGAAGCCACGAAAGTTGAAGCGCGAAGTGGCAGGACGACTGTATAATACGGACTTTCTAATCCCCATTTATAAATGAGGAAACTGAGGCACACAAAAAGCAGACGAATAGATATTTAAATCCATATAAGATATGAGATACCTAGGATATAAAATTGTAAATTAGAATAAAATTCCCTTATGCATAATAACAAAAAATTAGCGTTGAAACAGGGTATATATAACATGGCTTCCCCAAATACTTCAATTTACTATAAGGGAGGATAAAACAAGCAAAAATGTAATTCTAGAAGTATCATATCAGAAAATTTAATTCTATAATCTTTGAAAATGGAATAAAATAATACCAGAAGAAAACACCAAAAAATAAAAAACAGCCCCACCAGTGTGGCTTAGTGGATTGAACATCATCCCATGGAATGAGAGGTCCTGGTTCGAATTCCTGGTCAGGGCACATGCCTGGGTTGTGGGCTCGATCCCCAGTAGGGGGCGTGCAGGAGGGGGGCAGTCAATCGATGTTTCTCTCTCACGTCAATGTTTCTATCTCTCTCCTTTCCTCTCTTTCTAAAAAAATCAATAAAAACATATTTAAAAATAAAAACAAAAAACATAAATTTGGGAAGTGGATAACTGGTGATTTTTCTCTTTAAAAATTTCCTTCGACATTAAAATATTTTTATTAAGATACATTCAAATCAAAAGCTTTATGATTCAATTAAAATATATATTTTACAACTATATTTATAACAAACGGTATTATTTAAAAGTTTTGTTACCTGTTAACTATTGTGCAAATTGTAGAAATTTATTAAGTGTTAACAATTTTGTTGTTTTTATTAATCTTCATCCAAGTATATTTTTCCACTGATTTTTTTTTTTTAGATAGAGTGGCAGGGAGGGAGGGAGACAGAGGAGAAGGGAGAGCAGGAGAGAGAGGAAGAGGGAGGAGGAGGGAGAGAGAGAGTGAGAGAAAAACATTGATGTGAGAGAGACACTTCCATTGATAGCCTCCTGCATGACCCTGACCAGGGCCAAAGATCAAACCTGCAACCCAGGTATGTTCCCTTGACCAAGAATTGAACCGGAGACTATTTGGTCTGCAGGCTGATGCTCTAACCACTGAGCCAAACCAGCCAAGGCAAGTGTTAACAATTTTGTTATTCTGTTATCATCATTCATAAATAATTATTAATATAGATTTTAAAAAACTGTTTATTCAGGATAAATAATTTTAAAATATATTTGTCACTCACTTGATTGGCTAGCTGTAACTGTTCTTGAAGATTCTTGACTATTTCATCATCTGCATATATATCATTTCCCATCTCTGTGCCAAAGGGAAAGGCCTCCAACTGTTTTTCAACAACATCTTTTAATTCACTGTGTAACCTTTGGAAAAAAACAGTTAACACAATAATAATCTAAATTAATTTTAGTAACAGTAATTAATGTTTCAGGGTTAAATAACCATTTGGGTCAAAAAATCATTCTTTACATAAAAATCATTTTTAAGTAGACCTAAAAAATTAGAAGTGTTTCTTCACCACTAAATACTGTGTTATAAGAATAAAAACATTATCTTACAATTTTAAATGCATTAAATTGCTCATAATTAATTTAAGTCTAGTTCAGTTTGTCCAAGGGAGTTTTTAAATTTTCAAAAAGGTAAAATACAGATACTATACCTTATTAATGGATACAAGACATTCAGAAAAATATTTAAAATGTGACAGTGTTTTCATCTAGTCAATGGAAATGGGATACTGAATCTTACAGAATTGTTTAATATTTTCTTGTTTCACAAAACCACGTGACTTTTGCTCGTCCCAGTGAACAGAGCGGAAGAAAGTGCTGGTGGAGAAGTCAAGCCGACTGAGGCTTCATCTTTCAGCCCATTCTTACATAAGCTTGACCACGATTTTGAAAACTTTAAATTTGTCTTAAAATCTATATTAAACTAAATTACAGATAGTTCATACCTTGAAACAACTAAAGAAAAGCACAGGAAGGCAACAAATTAAAAGACTGATTAAGTGTTTTATTTTAAAATGACACAGACTTAGGAGGAAAAATGTTTTATAATGTCAGAAAAACTTCAAAACAGTTCACATAATTGTAAGCAAAAAATATTTACAATAAACACAAAAATAATAAAACTAAAAACTAAAAAATATATTGTTACGAATACATATACCTATGAAAAAACTTTTAATGGAAAATGACAAATACAAAATTCGAGACAATGTTAACTCCTTGCAGAGGGAGAGAGATGGGGGAGGGAAGGAACACATGGACAGGTGCCCCAGCTTCGTAACACAATAGCTCTTAAGGTGGATGGTGCTTCACAGGTTTTTGTTTTTTTCAGTATATTTCACAACATACACACCATACACTGTACTATTAGTAACTGCTAACATTTACAAGGTGCTCATAATGCACCTATTTCATGTACTTTCTAGATGATGAAACTGTTATACAAAGAGGTTAGGTAACTTGTCCTGGGTCACACGGCTAGTGGGAATGAAGCCAGGAATCAAACAAGAGAGCAGGCTCCAGTATACTATATAAATAAAACACCAAATAACAACAAAATTTATCTAAGGCAATAATAAAATAAAGAAACAATAGTTAATTGATATACCTTTCATTTTCCTTGATAACATTTTCAAGTTGTAGTTTCATCTCGCCCACCTGTTTCTAAAAGAATGAAATATGGTTGTAGTCATTCATTTCCCAAAAAATTAGATTTCTATTAAGTCATCCAGTCATATTCTATACATATTCTATGTCACCAGTCTCTAGATAAGAAATATTTATTCTTGGACTTCTGGTCAAGACGGCGGGTAGGTAAACGCGGTATCGTGTCCTCCCACAACCACATCAAAGTTACAACTAAACTACAGAACAACCATCATTCAAAACCGCCTGAAATCAAGCTGAATGGAAGTCGTACAACTACGGAACTAAGAAAAAAAAAAAAAGCAGCCACATCCAGACCGGTAGGACAGGCGGCAGCGCGAGGGGTGGCGGCGGCGCGCGGCGGCGAGACGGGCTGGTCCCACACCCAAGTGTGGTGGATAAAAATCAGGAGGCTCCCGCGGCTGGGAAGGTCCTTCCTGAGGACTGAGAGGTCCCCGTCCCACACCAGGGGCCCCGCTCAGGGTTCCAGTGCCAGGAAGAGAGTCCCCATCACTTCTGGCTGGAAAACCAGCGGGAACTGAGGCTCAGGGAGGCTGAGGCAGCTGGAGCGCCCCAGGCAGCTCCTTAAAGGGCCCGCGCACGGACTTATCGGACTCTCTCCCTCTAAGCTCGGAGGGGAGGCAGCTCGAGGGGCACCAGAGACACACAGGGAAGAACTGAGCTGTTTGGCACTGGAGCGAGGGCTGGAGAGGGGGCTTTCTCCGGGACAAACGTGCTGTCAGAGGCCTTTGTTCCTTTGGTGAGCCCTTCCCGGGGGCGGCAGACAGAAGCCTTATCTGGGACTCCAGCAACCTGGCTCACACTGGTAGCCCCGCCCTGCTGACTCCCTGAGGCCCCGCCCCACCCCACACAACTTTCAAGCCCACCCAAGCTGTTGCCACTTGCTTAACCATAGGATTGGCCGGTCTTGGATCCTGCTTCAGGTTTTTCCTAAATTCTTTCAAACGAGCAGCATCTGGTCTCAGCGAGCCCCATACCTCTCATTAAGTAATACACAGAAACAAACACAGGGAGGCAGCCAAAATGAGGAGACAAAGAAACAGGTCCCAAATGAAAGAACAGAACAAAACCCCAAGAAAAGAACTAAGCGAAAGGGAGATAAGCAACCTAACAGATACTGAGTTCAAAATACTGCTTATAAGGATGCTCAATGAACTTAGTGAGAACCCCAGTGAACTTAGGGAGGGCCTCAAAAGCATAAAAAAGGACCAGTTAGAAATCATGGATACACAGTTAGAATTAAAGGAGGCATTAACTGAAATAAAGAATAATTTACACAGCTTCAATAATAGAGTATGTAAATCCAAGGAGCAAACCATCGATTTGGAATATAAGGAAGCAAAAAATCCCCAATCAGAACAGCAAAAAGAAAAAAGAATCCAAAAAAATGAGGATAGTGTAAGGAGCCTCTGGGACAACTTCAAGCGTGCCAACATTCGCATCTTGGGGGTGCCCGAAGGAGAAGAGAGAGAACAAGAAATCGAAAACCTGTTTGAAACAATAATGGCAGAAAACTTTCCTAACTTGGTGAAGGAAACAGAAAGACAAGTCCAGGAAGCACAGAGAGTCCCAAACAAGATGAACCCCAAGAGGCCCACACCAAGACACATCATCATCAAAATGCAAAAGGTTCAAGACAAAGAGAGAATCTTAAAAGCAGCAAGAGAAAGGCAGCTAGTTACCTACAAGGGAGTACCCATTAGGCTGTCAGCTGATTTCTCAAAAGAAACTTTGCAGGCCAGAAGGGAGTGGCAAGAAATATTCAGAGTGATGAAAACCAAGAACCTACAACCAAAATTACTCTATCCTGCAAAGCTGTCATTTAGAATTGATGGACATATAAAAACTTTCCCAGACAAGAAAAAGTTAAAGGAGTTCATCACTACCAAACCGTTATTATATGAAATGATGAAGGGTCTTTTTGAAGAAAAAGATAAAATGTATGAACAAACAAAATGGCAATGAATACATATCTATCAACAATGGAATCTACAAACAAAATGAACAGGAAGAACAGAAACATTCTCATAGATACAGAGAACATTTTGTTGGTTGCCAGTTGGGAAGGGGGTTGGGGGAATGGGTGAAAAAGGTGAAGGGATTAAGAAGCACAAATTCATTGCTAGACTGACAAACCTCAAAGGGAAAGGGGTTGGGGGGGTGGGAAGAAATAAACCAAAGAACTTATATGCATAACCAATGGACACAGACAATAGTGTGGGAAAAGGTGGGAGGGGGGCGGGAGTGGGGAGGAGGGGGTCACTGGGGGAAAAATGTGGAACATCTGTTAATACATTTTACATCCAACAATAAAGATTTGGGAAAAAAAGAAAAAAGAAATATGTATTCTTTACTTCTAATAAGCAATTTAAAATGTGAATATTTTAACGATACACAGAACTTGAGAAAACATTCATTTTGAAAAGAATATAAAGCATTTTATGTAACACATTGAGAAATATTTAGAGGCGTAATTCCTATGATTTGTAGATGTTTATAGAAAAACAGATGAAAGATATTCCTCGTTATAACAAATATCTGTGAATGCATATTTTAATTAATGCACCTTAGTTTAGGTGAAGCCCATATAAGTGCTTGTATTTAAAAAAGTAAAATGCTAATGGTGAAAAAGAAAATACATAAAGATCTTCTTTAGCATTATTCATTCAATCTCTGACTCACTACCTTTATTAATTGTCTACACCCTCTGCACTATACAAGGCTGCTATCCATATGGTCACTAACATATACTTTAGTAGGAAAGAAGGTAAAAAGTTACTAAACTATGAAGAAGAATAAAATATATACTGTAAAGGGAATGAGATGAAGGTATGATTAATTTCCTCTGAGGGGATAGAGATAATAGGATTTCAATAGGAAAGGAAGATCACTTCAAATAGGGAGAAATGTAAGTTAACAGCAAAGAAGCAAAAAATATAGCCCTGGCCGGTCTGGCTCACTGATTAGAGTGTTGGCCCATGCATGTTCCATTCCCCGTCAAGGGCACATACCTGTGTTGCAGGTTAGATCCCTGGCCCTGATGGGGGTTGTGCGAGAGGCAACCAGTCCATGTGTCTCTCTCACACTGATGTTTTTCTTTACCTCTCCCTCTCCCTCCCTCCCATTCTATCTAAAAATCAGTGGGAAAAAATCCTCTGGTGAGGATTAATGAAAAACAAGAAGAAGAAGAAGAAGCAAAAAATATAGATAACACAAGCATAGTAGTCCGTTCTTAAGAAGAGTGAAGGGAAGTGAAGAACTGAAGAAGGCCATGTAAAATCACGTGAAAACAAAACTGCAACTGACTCCTGACCTGTCCATTAGTCTTGATTGGGTACCTAGGCTGAAGGAGAGGAGCCAAGACTGGAGGAACCTGGCAAGGGAAGGTGGAAAAGGCAATGGTCCCAGCCTTTCTCTCTTTCCCTTCCTACCAAAGCTCAAGGCAGCTTGGCCCAGCAAATCAGTACCGGCCAATTCTATGTACAAAGCGGGCTCAGAAGGTGAACTTTTTCCAGGTCCCTACTGTGCCTGAATCACAAACAAACCAAAATGAATGAATATACTACCAGGTAATTGAGAACCCACCATACCTGGAGCAATGGCTCTGAGAGATACAATTAAAAAGACAGGTGGCAGGTCTTGAATGCCGTACTAACTAGGAGGTCTGGATTTTAGTGTAGCAATGATCCCCACTTTGTAATTTAAAAAATTGATCTTTAAAAGTTGCAACATGCCCTGGCCAGTTTGGCTCAGCAGTTAGAGTGTCAGCCTGCGGAACAGAGAGTCCTGGGTTCGGTTCCCACTAAGGGCACGTACCTCGGTTGCAGTTTGTCCCTGGCCCCGGTTGCGGTCGTGTGGGTGGCAACCAGTCGATGTGTCTCTCTCACACCGATGTTTCTCTCTCTCTCTCTTCCTCCTGCTCTCTCTGAAGATAAATGCAAAAATGTCCTCGAGTAAGGATAAAAAAATAATACATATATTATTTTTTAAATATATATATTATATATATACACAAAGAAGTTGCAATAATGTCAGAATATCTTGAAAAGTACTTATTACTCGAATAATTTTTAGGTAGAATCTATATGCATTAGCTATGATTAAAGGTAGATCATTACAGTCACACTAAAGATATTTTTAATGTAAAATATTTCAAAATTCTTAGCAGTCGTAAGGAAACTAAATCTCAGCAGTACGTCTCATATCAATTTCTCCCCTATTACTTACATTTTCTGGAAGAAAATCTTTCATATAGGGAATTATAGTGATACTTTTCTTGCTTTCAAGCTATACTATTTTTTGACTGGGTCAATAAGATAAACCATAAGTACTAGTTCTACTCAATAATATCTATGTAGCTATCAGCATCTTTTATCTTTCTAAAAGTAGCAACTATTCTTATCATAGACCCTCGGGTTTTCAGCTTTCTTGTCATTAATTTAGCAATCACTCTTAAACAGAGAATGCCAAATGGAAAAATGATGTTAAACCTCTTAGTAAAATAGTTGATTAAAGAGATATATGACTCAGATAGGTTATGAAAAATTAAAAATTTAAAACAGTTTAATTTCAAGATAACAAGCTGTTCCATTTTATAACAATGGAAACCACATATGTCATTATAGCAATTTCAAGAGAGGGAATCCAGCAGAAACTGAAAGCATGCAGGTCCTAAGAATATAAGCAAAATGCCATTTGTGCAAAAGACAGCTTTCTGTTGCTCTTGTCAATTAGAAAGACTAAAAGACATCACTACAGGTGGCTTAAAACTTAAATGACTGCAGGCTAAAGAGCACACAGTAAAGACTAGGAAACATTTAGTTAACTTGTGATAAAACAGAAACTGCAATTTTATGAAATGTTTGTTTTTGAAATTTGGGTCCACAGAATCATTTTATAAGTTTATATATTAGAGGATTAACCTTGGAAATGAAAGTATAAATAATTTCAAATGCAATGGAAGGACTTTATTTTTAGAAGATATAAGCATTTGTGTGTTCTTTTAGTAAAGCTATATACATATCAAACCATTATTTTAGAAATAGGAGATTGTTATTCTAGATATAATCACCTTATCCAATAAATCCTGACATTTATTCATTCATCAAAAACTGAGGGCCTACTATGGGCTAGCCTTCAAAGCATACAGTAGGATCTCTTGCTGTCAATGAATGAAAAAAAACAAGAAAGATATAAAGTTCTTAGTGCTTGCCACATTCACAGCCCCATTCTGAGGAAATCAGTCTCAAGGAGTTGCTTTTCTATAATGTTATACTTTATTCTATTTGCATTATATCAAATCAGTTCTGCCACCCTTGTCACAACTAAATTGATTCAGGGATTGGTATCTGAATCCAACACAATGGAGAGTATATTAACAGTCCAAGAGGTCATCACTTCTTGGTGGGCTTCACTGGAGACATACAGCATCTATTTAAGAAACTCTTCTACTGCATGGTATCCAACAATCAGAAAGGTCAAAATTTGAGGGGGAAATTAAAAAAACATTTTCAAGACAAAGACACAGATTATAAATATTAGGTATACTCTAAAAATGTAGCTAATTGAAATTCAGATAGTATCCCAAACAATGATGTGCTATTATTCTAGTTCTCCTTGAGCCTGCTATATACCCTAGTCTTAGATATTCTGCGACCACAATGATAATATGTCTATATGGACAGCTTCCTTGGTTTCTTCATTCCCCTTCATGCCTAAAATAAACCCTAATTACTAAGAGGTTTTAGAAAAAAGCTGCTACAGCTTAAGCCTATATTAGGAGTGGATCAATAGCTTCTAAAATCTGACAGACATAATATTTGAAATTGGGGGATACATTCATTCTGTATATAATGGGAAATACAGATAAAATGAGGGCAAAGGGAAAGGTCTAAAAAGAATGTGATATGGTTTGGGGTCTTTCTGGGGGAAAAATAAAGATGTAAGCAAATAATAGACTAAGGGATGCTTCTAAGCACCTAAGACTTGCTCTTGCCAGATAACAGGAGCAAGAAAATACTGGATTAAAAAACAAACCAAAGATAACCTTCAACACATACACATACTCTTTTTTTTTTTTTCTTTTTTTTTTCCTGTCCTCACTCGAGGATATTTTTGCATTTATCTTCAGGTAGAGCAGGAGGGAGAGAGGGGGGAAGAGAGAGGAACATCGATGTAAGAGAGACACATCGAGTGGTCACCACCCACACGACCCCAACTGGGGCGGAGACAAACTGAAACCAAGGTACGCGCCCCTAGTGGGAACTGAACCCGGGACTCTCTGATCCACAGGCCGACGCTCTAACTGCTGAGCCAAACTGGCCAGGGCCATAGACACACTCTTAAGGAGAGTTAAATATTTTCTTCCTTATCAATGTTTTTAGAAAGAAAGGGAGTCTATTTTACTTTTTTTTTTTATAATACAATATTACAAAAAGCTTGACAACTATGATGTCATACCTGATAATATTCCAGCTGCCCATTTAGCTCTTCCAGATGTTTATCATACTCAGTAATAAGAGATACTAAAAAGCTAAAGAAAAAAAACACAAAAATACGGCATATTCTGTTAATTTGGTGTAATAAATATGTAACTTGTGAAATAAACTGTATATCAAAACTTTTACTATTCTAATTTTACCCATAGCAATCAATAACTTTGCCTTTTCCCTAAACCAGTGGTTCTTAACCTTAGCTTAATTAATATTTTGTGCTAAATACTTCTTGTTTTGGGGAGATGACCTGTGCACTGCAGGACGTTTAGCAGCATCCCTGGCCTCCACCCAATAGATGCCAGCAACACCCTCACCCTCCACAACTGTGACAAGCAAAAGTGTTTCCAGACATTGTCAAATATCTGGGGAGGGGAGGGAGCAAAAGCACCCCAACTGAGAACCACTCTTATAGACTATGATACCAGCTTTTATGATACCAGCTTTTATGATACCAGCTTTTTTTTCTTTTAAATTCAATGACAGATCATTCAAATCTAACTACTATATAGCAGACCACAAAATAAACATTCTTAATACTAAAGGAATTATTTCGACAAGAATTAAATATAATTAATAAAATAACATTTTTCTGGTGACACAACCTTACCTTTGGTCAACTACTGAGTTTCCTAATGTGTCATCTCCTTCTCCTTTGATGGCAGCTTTCTGTAAGAGAGAGGACTGACTTTTAATGTTTTCTCAAAGCATTCCAGTTGAAATTGCAGTAGTTTGAAATTAAATACTATTAAAAACTTTATAACCTTAGAAAATCTACTAATGTAATTAAAAAGAAGATAAAAGAAAAATCATCTCAATTGATGTTAAAAATATATTTGCTAAATTTTAACACCCATACAGAATAAAAACACTTGGCATACTAAAAATAGGAATAATTTTTCAAATTGTTAAAAAATATATTGACCAGAAACCTGCATCAATTATTATTTCTCATGGTGAAACATAAGAAACATGGCATTAAATTCACTAATATAAGGCTGCTTCATCACCACTGCTAAAATCCAACACTCTCCACCGAAGTTCTAGTCAGTGCAGTCTGCTGAGGGAGCAGGCGTTGAAGATTCAAAGGTGGAGAAAGAAGATACAATACTATTACTATTTAGAGACAATTTGACCATTTACCTAAAATCTACCAATTATTGAACTAATAAGAGCGTACACTAAGTCATCAGATAATCAACATAAAAAAGTGGCTTTCCCAAATACCAGCAATAATTAGGAAAAGTAAGAGAAAAAATATCCTATTCATTACTGTAACAAAAGATAGTATAGTTGAGAATTAAAAAACAAAAAATGAGAAAATGTTGAGTTAACTTTATTGAAAAATTAACTTTCCTGAAGGTCATAAAAGAAAATCTAAATAAACAGAATACTATACCATATTTATGGATGTGTGGAATAGTCAATATTATAAGCATATTTATTGATTCTCTAAAATTCACTACAACTACAATAAAATTTCAAAAATAAAATCCAACAGAAGAATTTATAAAACTTGATTAAACAGATCCAGTGTACGAGTAAATGCGCAAGGAGAGGCAAGATAATCTGGCAAAAAGGGGGAAGGAGCGAAGGAAGGACTTGACCTTCCACATATCCAAACACTATAGTGCTGGAACAATATGGTACAGACACAGAAACAAACACCACAGTATAGGAAATCCAGAACAGATTCAAGCATTTATAGGTATGTGTATAAGAAGTGAAATTATAATTAAATGGACAAAATACTGCTTTTCAACTAATAATGCTGGGTATCAAAATAAAATGAGCACATATTAAGTGGAAAAAATGAGTATCAGATAGATTAAAGATCCAAAGTTTAAAAAAATATTTAACAATTATTAAAAAAAAATGTGTTGGCCCTGGCCGGTTTGCCCAGTGGTTAGATCATTGGCCCGTGGACCAGAGAGTCCCAGGTTCGGTTCCCGCTACAGGCACATACCTCAGTTGCAGTTTGTGCCCACCCCGGTTGGGGTTGTGTGGGTGGTGACCAGTCGATGTGTCTCTCTCACATCAATGTTTTCCTCTCTCTCTTCCCCTCTCTCTCCCTCCTGCTCTATCTGAAGATATATGCAAAAATGTCCTCGGGTGAGGATAAAAAAAAAAATGTGCTGTTGACCTTGGGATAGAGAAAGCTTTCTTAAACTCCAAAAGTAAAAAGGTTTTTGTCTGTTTTGTTCACCAACATCCCAAGCAGTGCCTGGCATACTTTTACTCAAAATACATTTTCTAGCTGGAAGACACCATGGCTAAAACCTAAAAACAGAAAGACTGACATATTTTACAACATCTAAATTTAAAACATCTATACAGCCAAAGATACCATAAGCAAAGTTAAAATGCCAGCAACATTTGTAGCATGACCCAAAATTTAGTATCTAATATAAAGATGGAGAAATATTCAAACACAAGGAGCTGTATAAAGATGTTCAATGCAGCTTTTACTGTAATAAAAACAAGAAGAAAAAGTCCATTCATAGGATAAATGAGAAATAATACAACGGATCCCATGAGTAGTTCAATGAATTAACAAGATTTATATGCATCAACATGGACATATCACAAAAACAAAGAAGTTAGTTCTATGGGTACAGGGAGGGGAAGGGATAGAAGGAACAGGGGTTCAAAGGGATCTGTAAGTGCATTTGTAATATTCTTTTTTGTTTTTAATATGTTTTAAATTGATTTTTTAGAGAGAGAGAAAGGGAGAGAGACATAGAAACTTCGATGTGAGAGAGAAACATCAATTGGCTGCCTCCTGCATGCTCCCTACCAGGGATCGAGGCCATAACCTGGGCACGAGCCCTGACTGGGAATCGAACCGGGCCCTCCCAGTGTTTGGGGCGATGCTCAGTCCACTGAGCCACACTGGCCAGCTGGTTTTTTTCCAAGGAAAAATGTATTCATGATCACACACACAACTGAAAACTAATAAAAGACACAACTGAAAGAAGCCTCTGAATTCTAAAGTTTTACATAACTAATTTCCAACATTTTAACTCTAAACACTTATTTTACTTCCTATGTGCAAGGGCTCAAGTTAGGCAGAGTAGGTAATACCAAGTTGAACAATTCATGGACCTTACTAATAAGGTAGAATTGTAGAAGAAAAGGCAAATAAACAAGAAATCAAATAATAAAATAAAAATATGCTATATAAGAGGCACAGAATGTGAGAATGAGAAGAAAAACGGAAGATACTTTTTTATTTAGATACTACATACATACATATAGAAAAGTACACAAATTACAAGTATACTACTAAATTTTCACCAAGTGAATATACCAGCGTAACCAAAACTCAGATCAAGAAACAAAATGGGCCCTGGCCGGTTTGGCTCAGCGGTTAAAGCGTCGGCCTGCGGTCCGGAGAGACCCGGGTTCAGTTCCCGCTAAGGGCGCGTACCTCGGTTGCAGTTTGCCCCGGCTCTGGTCAGTCGTGCGGGTGGCAGCCACTCGATGTGTTCCTTTCAGATCGATGTTTCTCTCTATTCCTCTCTCTCCCTCCCACTCTACCTGAACAAAAAATGAAAAATGTCCTCGAGTGAGGATAAAAAAAAAAAAAAGAAACAAAATGGAAGCAGTCTTCACATTTGCACAATAGGTACTATGTTAACAAAAATGTGTGCATACCGGTACCAGCGACTTCACTCTGCATTTCATTTCTCCGGAAACATCAAATCAAAGCAAGCACACAGTTCTGATATGTGAAAGTTTAGTCAACCTGGTGCCATGGGAAGTGAGAACTGCTTATATGACCAGCAAACCAAAACCCCACAACTGCTCTCTTCCAGGCACTGTCCCCGGTCCACCAAGCGTAACTAATATCCCGACTTCCAACGCCGGAGATTAGCTGGCCTGTTTTTAAATTTATAAAATTGTAATCATTCATTATATTCTCTTTTATGTCTGAATTCTTTTGTTCAAATTGGATTTATAAGATTAATTCTTCTTGTTGCAAGTGATTTTGGTTTGTTCACTCTTACTGCCATGCACTATTTAATTCTAAGAGCATGCCCCAGTGTATGTATGCCTTCTACTGTTAAATGAACTGTCTTAGAAAAAAGGTCTTTTCTTACGGGCACATGACTCCTAGGGTCTGCATCAGGCACTACTAATAGCAACTGTACCAATTACTCTCCCACAGGCAGTATTGAGAGTTCCACGTCTTTGTCAATAGCTCGATTCACGTCTTTCACTTTCGTTAGTGGGTGTTTAATAGTATCTCGCTGCAGTTTTAATTTGTATTTGTCTGACAAACAATGAAATTGAACACCTTTTCATAAGTTTATTGACCATTGTGAAGTAAGTGTTCAAGTCACTGGCCTGTTTTTCTGAGTATTTTTTATATTGATTTGAAGATATTCTTTATACTAACATGAATTTTTCTCAGATTCAAATCTGTTTTGCTATTCATAGCTTGCTTTTATTTTCTTAATGGTTCCTTTTAACAAATTCCTTCATTTCAACTTGTCCAATTTATCAGTAACTTACTCTATGATTAGTTTTTGTGTTCTTTTGAAGATAACATGACTAGCAAGTTGACAGACTTGTTCCCATGTGTCCTTCTAAAAGTTTTATTAGTCTACCTTCTATATTTTGATATAAATCAATCCAGAAGTGATACCTGAGAACAGTATGGGTTGGGATCAAGATTAATTTCTTTTTTCGAAATGGAAATCTGACATATGTAGAGCTATTTTTTAACTCTATTCTGTTCAATTGGCTTACTTCTCTACCCCTAGACAATATTAAACTATCTTAATTATTAGTTTTACAGTAAATCTTGACATCTGCTAGTATATGTTCTCCAGCTTTGTTATTCTCCTATAAGACTGCCTTAGCTATGCCCTGGCTGGTTTGGCTCAGTGGTAGAGTATCGGTCCGTGGACAATGGGTCACGGGTTCGATTCCGGCCAAGGGTACGTACCTTGGTTGTGGTTCATTCTCAGCCTTGGCTGGGTCGTGTGGGAGGCAACCAGTCGAGGTGTCCCTCTCATGTCGATGTTTCTCTCTCTCTCCCATTCTTTCCCTCCCACTCTATCTGAAGATAAATAGAAAAACATCCTTTGGTGAGGATTAAAAAAAAAGATTACCTTAGCTTTTCTTGGCCTTAAATTTTTTTTTTAAATCCTCACCCAAGGATATGTTTTTATTGCTTTTAGAGAGAGGAAGGGAAAAGAGAGATAGAGAGAAACATTGATGTGACAAAGAAACATTGATAAGTTGCATTCTATATGTGCCCTGACCAGGAATCAAACCCACAACCTTTGGTGTATGGGATGATGCTCCAACTGACTGAACCACCTGGCCTTTTGTATATAAATTTTGGAAAGAGCTTGAGAAGTTTGAAGAAAAAGAAATCATGCTACCATGTTGATTGAGATTTTATTGAATGCAATTAATAAGCCTGGCAATCTATGAACATAGTACATCCTTACATTTATTTTATTCTTCCTTAATTTTATCACTATTTTACAGTTTTCTCATCTTAGACTTTTTTTTTAGAACCATTTCTAAAGACTTAGTGTTTTTTTCACATTACTGTAAGTAGCATCACTATTTAAATTTCATTATCAATGGGATTACTGCTATTTATAGAAATAAAATTAAATTTGTAATTTTGCCTTGTACCCAAAGACACCACTAAATTCATTTATTAAGTCTGACAGTTTGGAAGAATTTTTTAGATTTTTCTACATACACAATTTTATTTTCTGCAAATAATGATAGTTATTTCTTTCTTTTCAGTTTTTATGTATTTATTCATTTTGCTCAGACTTCAGTATGATGCTGAATAAAAGTGATTTTAGCACGCATCTATGCTTCATTTCCATTATCAGGGGAAAACTTTTTTTTTTTTAAATCCTCATCCGAGGACATTTTTCCATTTTCTGCACAGAGTGGGAGAGAGAGAGAGGAAGAGAGAGAGAGAGAGAAACATTGATGTGAAAGGGGCACATCGAGTGGCTGCCACCCGCACGACCAACCAGGGCCGGGGACAAACTGCAACCGAGGTACATGCCCTTAGTGGGAACCGAACCCGGGTCTCTCCGGACCGCAGGCGGACGCTCTAACCGCTGAGCCAGACCGGCCAGGGCGGAAAACTTTTATTTAACCTTTTACTATCAAGTACAATGCCTATCCAGTTTTTTGTAGCTAGTCTTTCACAATGAAGAGGTTTCTTTCTATTCCTAGTTTGCTGAACATTTTTATCATGACAGGGAATAGAACTTTATCAATTATTTTCTAGATCTCCTGAGATAATCAGACCATTTTCTGCTTCTTCTTCCTGCCATTATAGTGATTCCCACTGATGTATCTTCAAATGCGAAACCATCTCTGTCCTGCGCTCACAGCACCCCTCCTCCCCCATGCAATCCCGGCAGGGAGAGGCAAGACCCACGATGAGAGGAGTTCTGAGACAGCCACCTGTTCTGAAGAGACAGACTGCAGGAGGAACCTTAGGCAGTAACATTATACTCCGACGCGAAATAGAGATAGGAATGAAGATATGATTGTATAACTATAAGAACAGTACATGTAAGGGAAACATGTATACTTTCAGAGAATTAAAGGAGCTATAACTTGACCACAGAGTAACCTATTAAGTAAGGAAGATGTGTCCCTACTTGGTATGTTACCATTAGGCTTTAATGAATTATAATCACAATGTATAATGCAGGTACATCTAAGTGGCTCACTAGAGTCACTATTTTATCTGGTAAAAGCATCTTTCATAATTAAACCAGCCATAGTTTCCAGTAGATATAACACCATCACAGAAGTCTTTCCGGGCTTTGAAATCAATCTCTTGTTTGAATCCTCCCTTCAGGCATAGTCTATAAGACATTAAGCACAACCAAAATAACCTGAGAATCAGAGCAAACTTTAGAGGCTACTAGATTATGAAAGATTCTCTATCATCTAAATGCTAATAGTTCTTAGTTAAATGTACATGAGAAAAATAATATGATTCATACAGTAAATAGTGGATGGATAGTTTCAAGACCCTTGGGCTCTGAGTCTGGTCTTTGAAAATCAAAACAATGAGCAGCAGCTAAATTTTGAGTATACATTAGGGCAAAAATAATACCTATAAGGACAACTATAGTTAAGTCAATCAAGCTAACTATTCCTTTTGTAATACTTTAAAAACAACTTTCTTTTCAATACCTTAAAAACAAATTCAGTTTTTTTTCTTTATTAATTTCTGAGAGATAAGAAGGGAGAAGGAGAGAGCGATAGAAACATCGATGAGAGAGAATATCGATTGGCCACCTCCTGCATGCCCCCCACTGGGGATCTGGCACACAACCTGGGCATGTGCCCTGACGGGGAATTGAACCGGCAGCTTCTTGGTGCATGGGTCAACACTCAACCACTGAGCCACACCAGCTGGGCTAGAACTCAGACATTTTAACACCATGCATAATATGAAAGCTCCAACTCTAAAAAATAAAAGGCAATTTCTATGGTCAACGAATTTATAGTCATTAAGCAAAAACAAGCTTTCCCCCTTACAAGAATCAAAATTGTAAGTAAAGTTTCAAAGTGCTGTAGGCAACTTCACTTGAGAATAATCCAAAGTAGGATTCAATTTCTCTTCATATTTATGTAGATATATTTACAACCAAAATGAACCAATTTGTTTGACTTTAATTTACATACCTGTACTGTTGAATATTTGGAAGAAAATTCCATTTGATACCGTTTAAGAACTTCATTTAGTCTTTGATCTGAAAAAAAACAACAACAACAAAAATCAATTTGTAGTTCATTGAATAATTTTCAATTTTTAAAAACTACAAATAAGTCGCCCTGGCCGGTTTGGCTCAGCGGTTAGAGCGTCGACCTGCGGTCCTGAGAGACCCGGGTTCGGTTCCCGCTAAGGGCACATACCTCGGTTGCAGTTTGTCCCCGGCCCTGGTCGGTTGTGCAGGTGGCAGCCACTCGATGTGTTCCTTTCACGTCGATGTTTCTCTCTCTCTCTCTCTGTTCCTCTCTCTCCCTCCCACTCTACCTGAGCAAAAAAATGGGAAAATGTCCTCGGGTGAGGATAAAAAAATAAAAAATAAATAAAAATAAAAACTACAAATAAGTAAGTTATTATTTGATAAAATCAATGTAAAACTGTTAATCTCCACTGCTTCTTAAAATAAAATGAATCAATTTCAACACACCACTTTAGAGTTTAAATATAGGGTTCCTTCTACACACCTAAACTAACTATTGCCAACAAGAAAAAGAACAATAGCTGCTAAGAACTAATTTTTCTGATCTCATAAATTTTAATTTTCTGTCTCTTCTAGTTTTCTCTTTAGGTTAGCAGAAGTCAAAAAAATATTCTGCACACTTCTTTTCTTTTTCTTCTTTGTTGCTTTTATTTATTTATTTTTTTTTATCCTCACCCGAGGACATTTTTCCATTTTTGTACAGATAGAGTGGAAGGGAGAGAGAGGAAGAGAGAGAGAGGGAAACATCGATGTGAAAGGGACACATCGAGTGGCTGCCACCCGCACGACCAACCAGGGCCGGGGACAAACTGCAACCGAGGTACGTGCCCTTAGCGGGAACTGAACCCGGGTCTCTCCGGACCGCAGGTGGACGCTCTAACCGCTGAGCCAAACCGGCCAGGGCTCTTCTTTGTTGCTTTTAGAGAGAGAGGAAGGGAAGGAGAGAGAGATAGAAACATCGATGAGAGAGAACATTGACTAGCCACCTCCTACCTGTCCACCACTGGGGATTTGGCCCACAACCCGGGCATGTGCCCTGACTGGGAATCGAACCAGAAACCTCTTGGTGCATGGGTCAATGCTCAACCACTGAGCCACACCAGCCGGGCTGCATATTTCTTTTAAAATTCCTGATACTAGAATGATTAGCTGTAGCCATATTCTTTAGAACTGATAAAATCTGCTGAAATTCTTTTTCAGGACAAACCTCCACGTGGAGGAGAAACTACAGGACAAAGAATCCAAATTACGGAGGAGTAAGCAAGAGATGATAGAAAAGGAGGTTCAGAATAAAGCCAAAAGTTCTCAGTGAGAAAAAGGTGATATTTTTAATTCACAGTAGAACACAGCACCCAATAAATGTACAATACTCATTCTTTCAAGATCACCTGGAACATCTGAAACTACAATGGGGCAAATCTCAACAATTTTCAAAAGACTGAAGCCAAGGACAACATGTTAATAGCACTATTAAAGTGCAATAGAGAACCAAAAAGTCAAGAAACAATCCCATAAATTTTGAAGTTAAAAAATTACTTTTCAATAACCAACAGGTTGCAGGAGGAATTACAAAACAAATTTGAAAGTATTATGAACTGAATGGTAGTGAAAATGTAATACTGTGAAACTTGCTTAAAGAGAAATTTATAGCTTTAATCTTGCATATACTAGGGGAAAAAAGGCTGAGGTCAATAAACTACACATCCATTCCAAAAAGTTAGAAAAAGAACAGCAAATTAAACCCAGAGAGAGCGAAGTGAAGGAAATCACAAAGATTAGCCACCCCAAAAAAGAAACAGAAGTACACCAATAAGATCAACAAATATAATCATTTCAAAAGTTACAGAAAAAGCATCTGATGAAATTCAAGATATATTCATGATAAAGCTTTAGAAATGTAGGAATAGAAGGAAACTTCCTTAACTTGGTAATGGATTTCTATAATGGATTTCTACATAAACCGGCAACAAATGTTATACTCAATAGTCAAAGTGTTAAAAACTTTTCCTTGGAAATTGGGAATGACAGAAAATAAATTCTTTTGACATTTATTCACACTCTACTGGAAGTCTAAGTTAACACAATAAGGCAAATTAAAGAAATAAAAGGTATGAAACTTAAAAGAAAAAGCTGTCACTATTTATTGTTAGAAGTATATACATGGTAAATTCAAAAGAACACAAAGATAAATTCTTAGACTCAATAATTAAGTTTAGCAAGGTTGTTGGGTACAAGCGAATATACAAAAAGCAATTCTATTTCTATATACTGGCAACATAAAGTTAGTAAATAATAAAACATAATTGAAGTACAATAAAAAATCAAGCCCTGGCTGGTTTGGCACAGCGCTTAGAGCGTCGGCCTGCGGTCCAGAGAGACCCAGGTTCGGTTCCCGCTAAGGGCACGTACCTCGGTTGTAATTTGTACGGGGCCCTGGTTGGGTCGTGTGGGAGGCAGCCACTTGATGTGTCCCTTTCACGTCGATGTTTCTCTCTCTCTTCTTCCTCTCTCTCATTCCCACTCTATCTGAGCAAAAAATGGGAAAATGTCCTCGGATGAGGATAAAAAAAAGAAAAAAAATCAAGGTCTAGAAACAAATTTAGCAAAAGATGTGTAAGACTGTTGCATAGAAAACTATGAAAAATATTCCGGAAATTAATAAATTAAAGACTTAAAAAGTGGAAAGATATTCATGGTTTATAGGAGTCAGTACTGTCAAGATGTCAAGTCTCCTCAAATTGATGTCTAGGTTCAATGCAATCCCAATTAATATTCTCAAAGAGGATTTTTCAGGAATGTAAAGGTCAACTCTAAAATACAGGTGGAAATACAAAGAGAATAGCTAAGACTTTTATTTTTAATCCTCACATGAGGATATTTTCCCATTTATCTCAGATAGAGTGGGGGGGGGAGGGAGACATCAACGTGAAAGAGAAACATCAACTGGTTGCCTTCCACACGACCCCAACCAGGGCCAGGGATGAACCGCAACTGAGGTATGTGCCCTTGACCAGAATCAAAGTCGTGACTCTTTGGTCTGTGGGCCAACGCTCCAACCACTGAGCCAAACTGGCCAGGGCAAGCTAAGACATTTTTACGAAATAAGAACAGGGGATGACTTGCTCTACCAGATATCAAGATTTATTATAAAACTTCAGTAATTTAGGTAGTGTGATTGTCATATAAGAATAAACAAAATTGACCAGTGAAAGATAATCCAGATATATATTCATGTATGTATTAGCACTTGAATTATGATCAAAGGTGCATTCCAGAGCAGAATGGGAGAAAGAATAATCTTTTTTTAAGTGGTTCTGGTTCAAATGGATATCCTTGTGGAAGAATAAAACATCATCCATAAAAATTAATTCTAGGTGAAATGGAGATCTAACTGTGAATGTAAAAACAATAAGTTCTAGAAGAGAATAAAGATAATATTTTTATAATCTTAGAGTAGGGAAAGATTTTGAAATAAGAACACAAAAAGCACTGGCCAGCCCTGGCCGGTTTGGCTCAGCGGTTAGAGCGTTGGCCTGCGGTCCCGAGAGACCCGGGTTCAGTTCCTGCTAAGGGCATGTACCTCGGTTGCAGTTTGTCCTCAGCCCTGGTCAGTCGTGCGGGTGGCAGCCACTCGATGTGTTCCTTTCATGTCGATGTTTCTCTCTCTCTCTGTTCCTCTCTCTCCCTCCCACTCTACCTGAACAAAAAATGGAAAAATGTCCTCGGGTGAGGATAAAAAAAAAAAAAAAAAAAAGGAAAAATGTCCTCGGGTGAGGATAAAAAAAAAAGCACTGGCCAGCCCTGGCCAGTATTCAGTGGTTAGAGCATCTGACTATGGACGGAAGGGTCTTGAGTTTGATTCCCAGTCAAGGGCACATACCTGGGTAGCAGGTTCAATCCCTGGGCCTGGTTGGGGTCTTTTGGGAGGCAACCAACTGATGGGGCTCTCACACATCAATGTTTCTCTCTCTCTCTCTTTCTCTCTCTCTCTCACCCTCCCTTCCACTCTATCTAAAAGAATCAGTGAAGATCCTGTGATTACACTGAACCCATCCAGATAATCCAGGATAATCACCCCACCTTAAAATATTAGTTAATTAATTAATTTAAAAAATCAATGAAAAAATATCCTCAGATGAGGATTAACAACAACAACCACCAAAACAGCACTATCCATAAAAGAAAAAACTGATAAATTGGGCCACATTAAAATTAAGTACTTCTGTTCATCAAAGAGACTGTTAAGAGTAAAAATGCAAGCCATAAACATGGAGAAGATATTTCCAACACATATAACTGACACAGGGCTTATATCTGGAATATACAAAAAAAGAACTTCCATCAACTAAAAGGCAGACAATCATATGGAGAGCGGTGACATGACTTGAATGAGCACTCCCCAAAAGGTTACCTAGGTGGCCAATAAACATAGAAAAGCTGTTCAACCTCATTAGGTGCCAGGAAAATACAAATTGAAGTTACAATAAAATAAAGACTTAAATTTAGAAAGCAAATGTTGGTGACAATGTGGAATAAAGAAAATAAAGAGGGAGTGTAAATCAGTACAAATTTAAAATTAAACATACACACAATTCCTAGGAAGATACCAAACCAAAATGTGTGCACTTGAGCACCAAGGGTCATGACAAAAAAGGGTAGATAACCTTTATTGATAAGCAATATTCTCAATGGTCCCGAACTGGAAACAAATGCAAATGTCCATCAAAAGAAAAATGAGTAAGTATGACACATTTTAAACACTGAAACACCGTAGAGGAATGAGATTAACAAAGTACATCTACATGCAAGAATATGGGCAAATCTCAAAAATATAATGTTGAATGAAAGAAGGCAAATGCACAGGGATACACAGTTTATGGTTCCATTTATATAAAGTTCAAACCCAGGCACAACTGAACTTTAGTGTAAAACTAAAGATATTGGTTATCTTCAATTATCTTTGAGGAGGCGGAGACATTACGATTACTAGGGGGCTTGCTTCT